GGGGGGGAAGCAAGGCACGCACGGGGTGGGGAGCAAGGCACGCGGTGTGGGGAAAGTGAGGCATGCACGTCAGAGGGGGGAAGGAGGCACGCGTGGAGGGGGAAAGGAAGGCACGCACGGGGGGAAAGCAAGGCACGCATGGGGGGGAAGCAAGGCACGCATGGGGGGAAGCAAGGCACGCATGGGGGGAAAGCAAGGCACGCATGGGGGGGATGCAAGGCACGCATGGGGGGGGAGCAAAGGCACGCATGGGGGGAAAGCAAGGCACGCACGGGAGGGAGGGGGGAAGGAAGGTACGCACGGGGGGAAAGCAAGGCACGCATGGGGGGGAAGCAAGGCACGCATGAGGGAAAGCGTGTAGAAATGAGTGTTGGGTGGCGGAAATGAGTGATGGGCGGCGGAAATGAGTGATGGGTGGCGGAAACGAGTGATGGGTGGCGGAAATGAGTGATGGGTGGCGGAAAGAGCGATGGGTGGCGGAAATGAGTGATTGGTGGCGGAAATATGGGGCGCAATTGTCGTAGCAAGGGGCGGGAGTGATGGGGGGCGCCGAACAGGACTGCCTTATGGGCGGCGTGAGGCGTGGGATACGGGCCTCGCTCACGACAAAAACGGACGCCTTGTGGCGTGGGACACTAGCAGCGAGAGGCGAGTCATGCGGACGACGTGCGGGGACGGAACCTGGGGCGAGAAACCATGGACGTCGCGCGGCGTGGATACGGGCGGAGATTGGAGAAAAACGTTCGACGGCGCCGTGTGATATATCGGGACAGATGCGACCTAAACCGACGTCGTGCTTCGTGAGATACGAGTGTCGAAACAGCAGGCTAAAACGATAAACAAGAAAGAAGGGTTTTCACTAGCATGCAGTTGAGTACATATAGCAAACCCTAATTCGGGCTGTACTCGCTACAGAGTACCCCACTGCAGGCTACACAAACATCACATTCTGACACACCCCCATAGTCAAAGTGGTGTACAATCAACACAACAAGCAGTCATAGAGCAATAGTTCACAATGATAAGCAAAGCTAGAGGCAGTCACAGAGGGCAAGTGAGGAGGAGGAGAGACTGTGAGAGGAGTGAAGATAGAAGGCGACGGGTGAAGCCGCAGACACACGGGCAACAGGAACGGCGCGCACGGTGGCTACCGGAGCACTCAACCTCCGGACTACAGGAGTAACTGGCTCCGCGCTAAGCAGCAGCAGGAGCAACAGACCCACGGGCGACTGGCAGCAGCAGGCTCGCTGGGCTACCGGAGTACTCAACCCCCGGACTACTGGCGCTGCAGACGTCACAACGGCCACCTCCTGTCATCCTCCCCAAAATGTCCCACACCCCTTTCACACACTCCCTGCTGTGCCCCTAGCTCCACTCCCACGGCACCCCCCTTAAACCCTAAACCCTCGGCTCCCACACACCCACCCGCCTCAGCGGCAGCTGCAGCAGTGGGAGACGGAGGAGTAGAAGGAGCTGCATGTTACCCACACCGTTCACCCCCATGCCCACCACCCCCAAACCCTAACGCAGGCAGGAGCGCGGGAAGCAGCAGGGGCGGTTCACGGAGGGAAAGGGAGGCGGCGGGGGGGTCACCTGAGCGCCACGAAGGAGCAGGGCGCGGGCCCCCCGAGGGCGCCACGGCGGGTGACGGGAGGGGGGCCGCGCAGGGGCCCCAGAGGGCGGCTCGACGGGCGACGAGAGGGGCCGCGCGCGGGCCCCCAAGGCGCCGCGACGAGGCGACGGGAGGGGGCGGCGCGCGGGCCCCCAAGGCGCCGCGACGAGGCGACGGGAGGGGGCGACGCGCGGGCCCCCAAGGTGCCGCGACGAGGCGACGGGAGGGGGGGACGCGCGGGCCCCTAAGGCGCCACGACGAGGCGACGGGAGGGGCCGGCGCGCGGGCCCCCAGGGCGCCGCGACGAGGCGACGGGAGGAGGGCGACGCGCGGGCCCCCAGGGCGCCGCAACGGGCGACGGGGGGCAGCGCGCAGGTCCCCGGGGGCGCCACGACGGGCAGAAAACCGCCGCGCGAAGCAGGAAACCGCCGCGCGCCTCGGGGCGCACGGCGGGCAGAAAACCGCCGCATGCCCCGAGCGCACGGCGGGATGAAAAACGCCGCGCGCTCCGAGCGCGCGGCAGGAAGAAAGGGTCGCGCGCCCGAGGCACGCGACAGCAGTAGAGCAGCGGAAGCATCGGGTGGGGCCCACCCACAGGATCGACCCAGGAGGGTCGACCTGCTCTGATAGCATGTCGAAACAGCAGGCTAAAACGATAAACAGGAAAGAAGGGTTTTCACTAGCAGCAGTTGAGATACATATAGCAAACCCTAATTCGGGCTGTACTCGCTATAGAGTACCCCACTGCAGGCTAGACAAACATTACATTCTGACACACCCCCATAGTCAAAGTGGGGTATAATCAGCACAGCAAGCACGCAGAGCAGTAGGTTCACAAATACAAGGAAAGCTAGAGGCAGTCACAGAGGGCAAGTGAGGAGGAGGAGGAACTGTGAGAGAAGTGGAGATAGGAGGCGTCTGGTGAAGCCGCAGACACACGGGCAACAGGAACGGCGCGCACGGTGGCTACCGGAGCACTCAACCTCCGGACTACAGGAGTAACTGGCTCCGCGCTAAGCAGCAGCAGGAGCAACAGACCCACGGGCGACTGGCAGCAGCAGGCTCGCTGGGCTACCGGAGTACTCAACCCCCGGACTACTGGCGCTGCAGACGTCACAACGGCCACCTCCTGTCATCCTCCCCAAAATGTCCCACACCCCTTTCACACACTCCCTGCTGTGCCCCTAGCTCCACTCCCACGGCACCCCCCTTAAACCCTAAACCCTCGACTCCCACACACCCACCCGCCTCAGCGGCAGCTGCAGCAGTGGGAGACGGAGGAGGAGGAGGAGCAGGGGACGGCTCACACACCCGGCACCCCCATACTCTCCACCCCCAAACCCTAACACAGGAGCGCGGGCAGCAGCGGGGGTGGGGCGCGGTCAGAAGCTCGGGACGAACCGCACGCGGGCTGCCCGGGCCGCGCGCGGGCCTGGTGCAGCCCGTACGGGCCGCGCGCGGGCTTTACGGGCCGCGCGCGGGCCTGGCGCAGCCCGTACGGGTCGCGCGCGGGCCTGGCGCAGGTCGCGCGGGCCGCGTCGGGCGACGGGGGGCGACGCGACGGTCGACAGGGGGCGACGCGCGGTTCGACGGGGCAGAAAACCGCCGCGCGCCCCGAGCGCGCGGCGGGATGAAAGATCGCCGCGCGCCCGGAGCGCGCGGCAGGCAGGGGACAGCAGGAAACCGCAGCGGAAGCATTGGGTGGGGCCCACCCACAGGATCGACCCAGGAGGGTCGACCTGCTCTAATACCATGTCGAAAGACTAGGCAAGAATCAGAAACAGGAAAGAAGGGTTTTCACTAGCATGCAGTTGAGTACATATAGCAAACCCTAATTCGGGCTGTACTCGCTACAGAGTACCCCACTGCAGGCTACACAAACATCACATTCTGACAACGAGCGGTGATAGGAGAGGAAAACGGAGTTCGAGCCTCATGGGATATGGGCACCCATAGGTGAGAAAACGAACGTTTTGCCATGTGGGATACGGGCGGAGACCGGACGTCGTGTAATCTGGGCGGACTGAGGCGTGGGATATGCAAGGCGTGAGATATGCATGGCGTGGGGCGAGGGACGTCGTGGGACGGGCGTGTGTTGTGAGCGGAAGGAACACGGCGAGGCGATGCGACGGACCGTCAGCTGGGAGGGGAGTGGTGCGATGTTGGAACCCGCTTTTGAAGTTGTTGCTCATATCTCGACGCTATGGGAAGCCGTGAGCACGTCCAACAACTTACCGATTCTAAAAGGCGTGCCTATACTATTATACGCTAGTCGAGTATGGGGCTGCGATAGTGAGCAGTTGAGTTCACTTTTGTGCAAAGGTTTTTGATTGTGCCATGTGCAGCGTGAATATGCCAAGGCCCTTGCGCCCCCTATAAACAGCGGGGAGGTCTGTGTGCCCCCCAGCCCCCTCTGTACAAAACATGGTAACCAGCCGTTCAAACTAAAAACTTCTGAACCCAACCCTGCCAAAAGTGCACCGTCGCTTTAACATGCTACTAACTCTGCCTTCCCAACTAGTTAAAGCTCAAGGCCCAAATTGCACAAGTTTAGTAAGGTCGACCCAGGTGTTTTTCAGATGGTTTTTGATGCAAGTTCTGTTTTCGGCTTTTGAGTTTGGTTTCACACAACCCTCCCCGTCAGGATTACTATGGTTGCTCCGCGCGCTCCGCAATTTGGGCCGCGAGCTTTAACGCTTCATAAATGTACAATGGCCAATAATTTATGTTCACAGCTTGTAGCGGACCTTCTCCGACAAGGGAGGAGCTTGTTCTGAGGATGTCCTGTCCACATCATCATGCACTGCAACATCTGCCACATGCGACACTCGTGGCAGCACATTTGACATCTGAGAACCTTCGAGGAGTCTCAGCCACTCGCACCTGCGGTTTCCTCGCGACCCGTCGTCCCTTTGCAGTCCTCGTTGTGAAGAACGTCAGCATTCATTCACTGTAACTGATTTTTCGCCTTTCGCAAAAGCTCGCGGAAGCGTCATATCAGCCAATCGCATACCCCGTCTTAACTGGAGCATCCTAAACCGTCCACTCAAGGATCTTTTGCACAGCGCCTCCGTGTCGTCGATGAGCCCCACAAGTTTCGCTGGGTGCTCGGAATTCCACCTGACCACTCCCTCCTTGGCACTCAATAGCGCGTACAGCCTCCAAAAATTCAGCAGATCTGGGGAACATCCCCCACCGCCACCACCATCGCCCCCACCACGTGGCTTGCCTGCTGTGCCAGGTGCTCCCTCCCCCTCACCCTATTTTGCACATTCGCACTTTTTCAACACCATCTGCATACCCTCGCCTTCATTTCCGCGCATAAGTGACCCCCCCTCCACCCTCGGGCTCGCCGCGCCACCTCTGTGTCGTCCACCACCTCGCCGCAATGGCCGCCGTTAACGCCTCGGCTGTGGCTACCGCCATTTCCGCCATCGCTCAGCCCCGCAGCACGAGAAAGGCTGTGTCAGGCTCTGTGCACTTTAACCCGCTTAGAGTGACTGCCGCCCGACCAGGTAGGCTTTCGAGAAGTCGTCGAACCTGGAGCACCTTTAGTCGATTGAAGGTGTTTTCACTTACACGTTTATGCAGGTTTCCTAGATCTGACGTCTAATTCTGGGTAAATGTTTGGCCTGGTGCTGTACTGCTGCGCGTATCTCTCTCGTTCTCTTTCTCGTCTGAGCGTATCTCTCTTATCGTGCGTGCCAATGCTTCCGTGCCGAACGCGTGCATCGCAGCAGTGCGCGTTTCTCGCAGCAACGTCGCGGTGGTGCGCGCCGCGACGGAGGAGACGGCAGGCACGATTCAAGGGTTCATTGACGACGTGAAGGCCAAGGTACGCCGCATGTTATACAGACATATATAATTACGATTCATTGTTGTATTGAAGAACACTTCGGACACCGAAACGCGTGGAGAAGGTATTGAAGTTTTATGTTTGCCAGTAGGCAATATCGTCAGACGAGCAGCATCAGTACCTGCTTGTTCGCAGTAGGATACAATCCACGCCCTGGCTGCTCTCCCGCCGCTCCTCCTGTGCCTGTACCTGTCCATATCTCCCCCTAACTCCACCACGCGTTCCCTCCCTCCCCACGCCACTAGCCTCGAGGCATCCCTAACCGTGTTGCCTTGTGCGCTCACCCTCCCTCCTTCCATCTCTAACTTTCCCGCTCGTGCCACGTGGCACTCGGCGCGCAGTGGGACGGCGTGGAGGACAAGGGCACGTTGGCGCTGTACGCGGGCGGGTCCGTGGCCACCGTGTGGCTCTCCGCCACCATCGTCAACGCCGTCAACGCCCTCCCCGTTGTCAGTCCTCCCCGCCCTCTCCTCCCGCCCTTTCCTCAACCCCTCACCTCTCCCCTCTCCTCAACCTCTCTCTTCACCCCCCCTCCTCCCGCCCTTTGCTCACCCACTCACCTGCCCGTCTTTCTGTTCTTCCACTGTCCCCCCGGCAACGGCCCTAACCGCATGCTGCCTCGCTGCGTCTTCGCCCCGCGCCCGTGCAAGCCACGCCCTTTCCGCACCACGCCACGTCCCCACGTCTCGACCTCCCCACCTCTCCGCGTCTCAGCCTCTCGCCGTCTCATTCATCCTTCCCTAAACCACCATTCACTCTCCGTGCCACTCACCATTCACTCTCCGTGCCTCTCACCATTCACTCTCCGTGCCACTCACCATTCACTCTCCGTGTCACTCACCATTCACTCTCCGTGCCACTCACCATTCACTCTCCGTGCCTCTCACCATTCACTCTCCGTGCCACTCACCATTCACTCTCCGTGTCACTCACCATTCACTCTCCGTGCCACTCACCATTCACTCTCCGTGCCACTCACCATTCACTCTCCGTGTCACTCACCATTCACTCTCCATGCCACTCACCATTCACTCTCCGTGCCACTCACCATTCACTCTCCGTGTCACTCACCATTCACTCTCCGTGCCACTCACCATTCACTCTCTGTGCCACTCACCATTCACTCTCCGTGTCACTCACCATTCACTCAAGGATGGTCGTTGCCACCATCTGTATTTCGTCACTCTGAACCCCCGCCGCCCCCGCCTTCCCTCTCACCCATCAATCCCTGGCTCGCCGCTTCCCTCTTGCCCCATTCCCGCCCTTCTCGCCCCTTCTCGCTCGTTCTCGCCACTCCTCAACCCTTCTCACCACATGTTCGCCCTATGTGCCCCCCCCTCACCCCCCCCGCGTATGCGTGTGCTGGCAGGTGCCCAACGTACTGGAGCTGGTGGGCACCGTGTACTCGGGCTGGTTCGTCTACCGCTACCTGCTCTTCAAGGTAAGCCGCTCCGTCCTCAAAAGTACCTGCTCTTCAAGGTAACCCGCTCCTCCGCTGCCCCACTGCCCCTCTGACTATCTCTCTCTCTTTCTCTCTTTCTCTCTCTCTCTCTTTCTCTCCCTCTCTCTCCCTCTCTCCCTCTCTCCCTCTCTCCCTCTCTCCCTCTCTTCCTCTCCCCCTCTCCCTCCGTCCTTCCCACCCTACGTCCCTCTTGCTCTTTCGCTCGCTCTGCTGCTGTGCTGCCACGGTGCCGCGTGTTTGCTCCAAGGCCTGTTATTGAGGCGCTTTCAGAATCTCATGGCTCTCCTACTCTTCCCCCTTCCCTTATGCTCTTTGGTTGCACACTTTGGTCACGTAAACTCTGGACACAGAGAGGCTCACCTGTTTCCACCTGCACGTTTTTCCCACCATCAAGATGTTTGCACATACGGTACTTTCTGCGAGTGCACACGCGCACATGTATTTGTGTTGCAAAATGTACCGCACACATGCGGAGGGATCAAAACACGTTCCATATTGTTTGCTTCATTCTCAGTCCTTTCTCCCTGCTCCCTGCCTACTCTCCCCCCCACCAGTCGAGTCGCAAGGAGCTGGGTGAACTAGTTGAGGATATCAAGGCCCGCATCACACGCGCCTGATCTGATGCCCACTGCGCCGCCAGCACCACCAGCACCAGCAACAGCTGTAGCCATGGCTGTAGCTTGTGCGCGCATCCATGCTGAGTGGGACAGGTATGTAGATGCGTTTTATCAATAAGTATCGCGATGTCTAGTGGAAGTGCTTATACCTGCAATATCAGTAATAATATTATAAAGAGGAGTGAGCGCATTGTGATAAGGGAGCAACTGTACTGTCGCAGCAGCAAATCATCATCCGGAGAGGAGTCCACCAGTAGCACAAGGCTGGCTGGAAGCTACGGTACACATGTAGTCTTGCCTTTGCCTTGAGAGGAAAAGCAGGCACTCTATCGGCACTGCCTGTGACATCATACATACCAGTCTCGCTTTCCCATAACTTCTGCAAATCTTTTGAAGGCAGCAGTGTAAACTGGCCGCTTAAGACCGTTGGCCTGCGGTGGGGGAAGGCGAATCCAGGGAAAACGCAAGGGGGAGATGGGGGAAGGGGGGATGGGGGAGACAAGGGAGGGGAGGGAGGCGGAGATGTGGGAGACGGGGCAGACGGGGGAGACGGGGGAGACGGGGGAGACAGGGGAGACGGGGGAGACGGGGGAGTGAGAAACTGCTTGCTCATGGTAGATCGTCTCCAAAGCCACATGCAAATGTCTACTGTGTGTGTGTGTGTGTTCAGGTGTGCACGTGTGCATGTGTGCATGTGTGCATGTGTGCATGTGTGCAAGTGTGCATGTGTGCATGTGTTAATGTGTGCATGTGTGTATGTGTGCATGTGTGCATGTGTTCATGTGTGCATGTGTTCATGTGTGCATGTGTGCATGTGTTCATGTGTGCATGTGTGCATGTGTTCATGTGTGCATGTGTGCATGTGTTCATGTGTGCATGTGTGTATGTGTGCATGTGTGCATGTGTTCATGTGTGCATGTGTTCATGTGTGCATGTGTGCATGTGTGTATGTGTGCATGTGTGCATGTGTTCATGTGTGCATGTGTGCATGTGTTCATGTGTGCATGTGTGTATGTGTGGATGTGTGCATGTGTTCATGTGTGCATGTCTTCATGTGTGCATGTGTGCATGTGTTCATGTGTGCATGTGTGCATGTGTGCATGTGTGCATGTGTTCATGTGTGCATGTGTGTATGTGTGGATGTGTGCATGTGTTCATGTGTGCATGTCTTCATGTGTGCATGTGTGCATGTGTTCATGTGTGCATGTGTGCATGTGTGCATGTGTGCACTCACCATGGCAATAACTTGAGGCGCAGGCACCCACTGCCACGCTCCAAACTCGGCTGACTCCCCCCCCAGCCCCTCCAGACACACCTCAGAGTCGCTCCCCTCAAAGCGCATCAGCAGCCTACTCACACGGAACAAGATGAGGATGTGGAGGGCGGAGGTCAGGGGGAGAGATTTGAGCAGGGACAAGCGATGATGGGAAGGAGGCTGAAGCGAGTTTGGCATTTAGCCTCTCATTAAAAGGGAGTTTTTTTCCCCCTTGTCTCACCACCCGTGTACATGCATCGCCCTCCCCTCTCCTTCTGACCTGCGGCAACGCGGCAACACCCCATCTCTCGCCCCTTCCCTTCCCACTCAACGTAACTCCTCTCAGCAACCATCCATCTCAACACCCCTTCCGCCACACCTGCTCCTCTTCTCTCACCATCGCTGCGCCTGCCCCTGCCACTCCCTCCCCCACCGCTGGGCAAGGCGCGGAATGACTGCCGGGGGGTAGCGGTAGCACAGCCACTCCCCCATCTGGGGTAGACAGTGGGGGTGCGAAACGGGAGATTGAAAGGGACGGGGAGAACAAGGGGGAGGAGAGGGGGGGAGGGGGAGTGGGGAAGGAAGGGGAGTGGGGAGGGGGTTAGAGGGGTAAGAGGGGTGGAAGCGAGGATGCTCACGCATGTGGGTGGGCGCATGCTGAGAAATCAGACAAGTCGAGATAACAGAAAAAGGTTGAAAATACAGCGTCCCCCCTCAACCTCTCACAGAAAGGTGGGCCCGCCTCACCTCGCCCACGCGCAGTACGGAGCGCGGCGCTATGCCCGTCTCCTCCTCCAGCTCGCGCAGCCCCGCCTCCCACACGCCCTCGCCCCCCGCCACGTCTATTCCGCCCTGCCGCCACAGCCGCCGCGGCATGGCGCGCATGGGTGGAGGGAGAGCGAGGGGAGAGGGAGAGGGAGGAACGAGGGAAAGAGCGAGAGAAGGAGAGAGGGAGAGAGGACGAGAGGGAGAGAGACGGAGAGGCGAGGTCAGACAAGGAGGGAAGAAGCGGAAAAGGAAAGAGAGTGAGAGACACTCCGCCGCGGCGCGTACCTGCGGCATCTGCCACGTGTCAGGCTGGTCCAATCGCGACGCGACCAGCACAAGACCCTGCTGATTAACTATGCATAGCCCCACGTTAGGACGGTATCCCGCTGGTGGCTCCTCCTCAGCCCAACGGAGCAGCTCGCCGACTTTGTGACGGAAACCCTCAACGACATCTTCTCTGTCAGTTTGTTCTGTCTCTCCTGACTTCACGGGAGTCTGCTCCACGCCGTTAACTTCTGACGATGCGTCTTGTGACTGCGCGCCGTCCGCATTGTGCATCGCCCGTGTTACGCACGTCGCACGCGTCGCATTCTCGAACGCGTTGGCGATCGTGCTGCCGTCTGCCTCCATCCGCCACTGGACCGTCGATTCGCCCGCGCTGCGTCCGCGGCGAATCTGAGCCGTTACTGCGCGAGCACGGACCGCAGAATGCACAGATCCGTTTTGAGCCGTGGATCCACAGCAACGACTCGTAGAAGACGCGGCAGGGGTTGAGAAATGCGCGGCAGCGCGACGCGAAGGGTGCTCGGACGCCGGAGGGAGCGACAGAGCCGCGGCTTTGCGCCCTAGCGCCGCTCTGCGACCAGCCTGAATCGTCCCTAGCGCCCCGGCCTGAAGCGTGTGTTGGAACCTTCGCATTACTGGCTGCTGGAGCATGCGGGTGCGACGGAGAGATCCCAGCTTGTTCTTAGTTGTAGTGCGTGTGATGAGATGGCAGGAGAGACACAATCATCTAGGTGTTTTTTTTCTCACTATGGGGCTCGGTGTTCTTTGCCTTGTGTGCTTTATTTGCCGACTAGATTTACTGCGAAAAATGGTGGGGCGGGGAAAAATCTTGCTAGTGTGCGGAGTGTAGGTTTGCTTTTCGTCAATTCGAAAATGCGGAATGAAAAGTGAAAACCATTCGTCCTTTGCAGGGGGCAGTTTGAAAAGTGAAATGTTTCTGGCAGGAGGGGAAGTTGCGGATGGATGGATTGGTTGGGAGCGGAGTTTCCAAGACCTCGAGACGGGACAGCCTCTCAGCTTATAACGCGTATGCAGCGCTTGCACTTGAGCCCGCCCAACCAGGCTCATCCCAGATTTCATCTGCTTCCCGTCGCGGCTGCTCCTTGATTTTGTCATCCTCGAACTCTCCACTCGGCCAGCAAGTCAGGCATTCACTCATTCAGTCACGGTCAGTCAAGCTGCTGAATCCAAGAAAGCCCGCTTATCACTCGGACAGTCCGCCCAGACAGCAAATATAGGGACAAACCAGAGCCCGCTCGTTTCTCGAGAGACGCTAGTCGGCAGTCGAGTCGTCGCGGCTGCTTGTATCGCGCCCGATCGCTGACGTTAGTGCACGCGAAAAACGTGTCGCAGAAGGAACGACGTGTGGGATCGTCACTCGCTCTGTTTCGCAGGTTGCGTCTGGACGCCCGCCGCTCCTCGAATCCAGCGCTGCGCCCGCGCGCGGCTGACTCGCGCAGCGCGGATGTCCGTCGCCTCTGGCGGCGGCGGCAGCAGCGGCGCAAAGAGCAACAGCAGCGGCGGCAACGGCAGTGGCAGTAACAGCACGTTTAGCGCCGCTCGTGTTGCAAGCAGCGGTGGCAACGGTGGTAGCAGCAGCAGTGTCGCCAGCGCTAGCAGGAACAGCAGCAGCAGCAGCAGCAACAGCAGCAGTCGCAGGCCCCTTCCGTCCATCTACGTCCCCATTTCTCCCTCTCACTCTTCCCTTCTCAAGCCATCGCCCTTGACTCGCAAGGCGCCCCCGTCCCCTGTTCCCTCCCCGTCGTTCTTCAACCCTCTCCGCGCATTCCTTGCGCCGTTTTACCGCCTGTCGTCTGCGCGTCTGCACGCGAAGCTGACGCGGAGCAACATCGCGGAGCAGTTGCGCGAGTACCAGCGCAGGCGCCAGCACGACTGGGCTTCCGCCGCCTTCTATGCCGCCACCGCGCCCTCCCCGCCCGCCTCCGCCGCTGCGCGCAGGAGAAGATGCGCGCTGGCGGTGTTACTGGTGGTGCTCGTGTTCGCGCTCTGCTCGTCCGCATACCTCTCCGTGCAGGTGTGGCGCGGAATGCGATACGGATGGGCGCCTCGCAGTGCTGACATCACGAGGGAAGCGGTGTATGAACGAACCACGCGGGAGGATAGAGGGGGGCGAACTGCAGAAGGAGAGACTTTAAGCGGAAGTGGGGAGGCGGGTGAGAGAGGAAGGGAAGGACCGATGGAAGGAGAGGGGAAAGGAGGGGAGCGTGGTGACAGAGCTGACTGGGATGGGGAGGATGAGAAGGGACGTTTGAAGGCAGGTCCGGCGACTGTAGGAGATGGGAGGATGCTTGTGCTCTTGCAGCCTGCTCTGCTGCTCGTGGCAGTGGCGGGTGTGCTGAGCGTTGCGGCATGCTCCCGGCAACGGTGGCGCAAGGGCAGGCGGAGGAGGAGTGGCAGCAGTAGCAGGCTGTTGCCGTCATGATGGCAGACGTGTGTGTGGAGGAGGTTCAAGGCAGGGGGTGGGGGGGGATGCTGCTGGAGGCTATGCATGAGAGATATGTCAAGTGTGGAACTGGGAATGAGCAGACACCAGCATATGCAGCATGAGAGGGGATGCAAGGGACCGCCCGAGACTTGTGGGGAAGGCGATCGTGACGGGCGCGTAGTCATTGCTGAGATTCTGACCTCCCATGTCGTCTTGAATGTCACTAACGTGAACCTTTTGAAGATTCTTTTCCAAGTAATGATCTTCGACATACGGTGCCTTTGGCAGAGAAGAAGTGATCATGGTGGTTCCTGTATGCATCCTTGTGAGCTTGTAACCAAGAATTCTCTCACCTGAACCACCTGGCTGTACCCGTTACTAAGATTACTGTAAATATATTTCTATTTTCGTCACTTTCATTGTATCGTCAGTTTATTTAGTCACAGCTTCGTTATTATAACGCAGACCACATGTGGGTTTGCGAAGCTGAACGGCTTTCATGAGTATCTTCGCTTTCGCTGAACCACCCCCCCACCCCTACTCCCTGAGTCAGGTTACAAGCTTACAACAATAAGGGATCTTGTCCCACACACGTTTCCTCGAGAACCTTTCCTTGTCATTCCTTCCCGCAACGTCGCATTTCGTTCTCGCTGAAACCATGGCTCGACTATCTTGCGGAGATTTTCTGATCCTCCTTATAGCACTGTTGCTTCCTCCTCTTGGCGTGATAATAAAGTTCGGCTGCTCCTTTGAATTTTGGGTGAGGGACATGATGTTTCTCATACGGTAATCTTGTTCTGGCTTGACCTGGGACTCATAATCCCTTGGCCCTTCGTTCTGTTTACTTTCCTGCTCCGATTGTCGTGCTCGTGTGCACGTTGCCTCCCGTCACTAGCATAGTCTAGCCACATCCTGATTGACGTTGAAAGCTCTCTGCCCTGCTCCGTCTCGTGGCCGTCTCTGCCGATTCTGCTTATTCTTTCATGAACTCATCGGTCGTTCCTCTTCGTTCGCTCTGTGCCCCCCCTCCTCTCTCCCCCCTTTCCCCCCTCCCCACCCCTCTCCCCGTCTGTTTCCTCTCTTACGCTGCTTCCCATGGTGCATGTCTTCCGCTGCTCAGCTATGCCTTCTCCTTAGCTTTCTCGGGTGAGTCACATCCCAGTGTTCGCGCTCTGCTGCTGCTCTGACGAACTGCGTTTCTTCATGCGCTTACGAAGAGCAGATTTACAGCCAGGGCTTTTGTTTCCACTCTCTCTTCCTGCCCATCAATCGCTCTGGCTACTGATTCTCTGTTGACTCGCAATACAGCCGCCGCATGACTCGCTTTAAGCTCTTTAAATTCCATGTTCTCCTGCGTTGCAATTGCTGCTGGCAGATACATCCCTGGAGCCGTGTATGCCTTTTACATCATCTATGTTGCGTAAGCCATCTGCTCTGCCTGCACTGCACTCTCTTGAAAGCCCTTTTCCTCTCCTTAGTCCTCGTGTTTCTGCGAATACTCACTCGGTCACACACACAATCGATCCACCTGCCTCCCCTCTCTTTCCAGTTTACCACCCAACCTTCTGGTGCCACACCTCTCTTTTCCTGCTTTTCTCGTTGCTGACGCCTCACACACTCCATAGCATCTCATGCGCTGATTCTCGCATGCATCTCTCCCCGCTTCTCTGTCTTTTCTTTGTTTAAAACCTCTCCCCGCCTCTCTACCGTCTCTTGGCTCTGTGCCTTAAAAAATCTCCAGCATCCAGGAAGACGACGGGGTACAGGTGTACTATGTGCGAGCGTGATCATGTTCCGGGCGAATTATGTTCCGGACCACTCAGCTTCCACTCAGCTTCTCTCTTGGCACTGGGCGGATCATGTTCACATGGAGTCCCATCAAGTATGATGATGTATAGCCAAACTTGTACAGTGTGTGCTGTAGTCTGCAGTGGCATGTTACGTGTACCTTGTGGGGGTGCGATTCCACGATTAAGGCGGGGTGTGTAGTGTGTTGTTGATCGCGGCTTACCATTGGTCAGGCAATGTGGGAAAGTGTTAGGTTGTGCTAGAAAAGGTTTACGGTTACGCACGAAAATGTTTCAAATGATGGTTTCAAGTCTGGTTGGCACTGTTGGCCTGGCTGGCAAGTCACTCATTCCACCTGTGTGGTGGTGAACAACTCACAAACAAATTATGCACTTACAAACGGTTTTAGCCAGGAAGGAAGGAGCCAAAGCTCTCCAAAAAACAACTGTACATGTGTAGGTATACTACGGGTCCTAGCCACACACACAGAGTCCCCCATAATAGACGCACATGGTGCAACTACCGTACGGTATGAGGAAGACAGCCCCGCATGATCTCCTGACAACCCTGGTCACATGGGTGCAACCAGTACCGTATCAAGATGGAAATAGCCGGAACTTGCTGCTGAGTGTGCAGCTGTAAAAACTGAAAGTGAAACATGAAAGCAAGCAAGCAAGCAAGCACCTAGTAAGCGAGCATCACTGAAAGAGTGATGATTGCAGAGTGTAGTATCCCCGCCCTGGACATAGGGATCAACAACGCTAGCTAGTGACCCAAGCAGGGACAACAGCCAACAGCAGAGCACCCATTTGGGCCATCCATTCACCCAACCATGTGACCAAGCATTCATCAGTCCCACCATCTGCTTCTTCTCTCTCTCGTCATCCCCGTGATGTGGTGGCGGTGGTGCTCATGCCCATAGGAGCAGTGGGTCCATTGCTGTCCATCTGTGGGCACATCCTCCCCACCTGCCTCTGAAGGGGTTCAGAGCGGTTCAGAGGCACGGAAAGACGGGGGGATTAGCAGAGAGAATGGATTGGACAAGGAGAGGCGATACAACAGAGACAAGCTTCTGCCGGAGATTGAATTCACAGGGATATAAGTTGAGGAAGGAGAGGCGAGGAGAGGTGAGGAGATTGAGGAGAGGCGAGGAGAGTTGAGGAGATTGAGGAGAGGCGAGGAGAGTTGAGGAGAGGTGGTAGTGGTGGTACCATGGGATGCGTGACCCCTGAGAGCTGCTGTGAGACGGGCGACATCATCATGTCCGTGGGGCTGCGATACCTGCCATGGTTTAGGCACACATACACACAGGCACACACACACACACACACACACACACACGCAGACACACACATATACACACACACGTGTACAGAAAGGAGTGAGGAGGAGTGAGATGAGGATGCGAACCAGTGGAGCAGGCAAAGCTCGGGACAAGAAAAGACCACGCCTCCCTCACACAAGCAAGCAACCTTGCTGCTCACAACTCCGGGGCGGCGTCAACACCTCCCATGCGTCGCACTGGGCGCAAGCACACGCTAGCACACGCAAAGCACACGCAGGGCACGCGCACGGCACGCGCACGGCACTCACTGCTTATCCACACCGCGCAGCAGCTGCCAGGCGGGCTTCTTGAGCAGGCGAGGCAGAGGGTTCGACACGGGCACGCCCCGCCGCTCCTGCAGGCTGCTGAGGCGCTGGCGGCTCGCCATGCCCGGGCTGAGCGGCGAGATGGGGCTGAACGGGCCCACGGGGCTGATGGGACTCACGCCCGCGTTGTCCACGGACCCGCTCGTCGAAAGCACCAGGCGCGGAGTGCTCATGTCGCCGCGGAAGGCGCGGGGAAGGCGCGGAGGCGGAGGCGGAGGCGGGTGCAGGGGTGGTTGACCGAGAGGAGATGAGGTCACGCGGAGAGAGGAGAGCAAGAGGGAATTGTTTTGGGGATGGTGTGGTGAGGATGGTGAGGAAGGTGGGAGACTGGTCGGAGGTAGCTGGGAGCGCGGCGAGGCGAGCGGGTCTGCTCGCTGCTGTGGCGAGGACGAGGTAGCGGAGATTCACAGTCGTATAGAGTTAACAACGCACGGGGTAGCCCTGCAGCTCGCAGCTCGCAGTGTCAGTCGCAGCAATTCTTGCAGCGGAGGTCCCAGGATTCTCTCGTAATCGCTACGTGGGTGGGCGGGGGAGTGGGCGTGGACGTGAGAGTCTTAATCGCAGCACGAGGTAAGATACAAGGTAGTCTGGTGGACGATAAGGCAGCACGAGGAGTATACTCTCAGCTCGTTTAGACGCCCGAAGCCAGCGGCGGGGCTTTATGATGGGAGAGAAGGTCCGGTGGGCGGGATGTTTGAATGTGTGACCTTTGATTTGTGATTTGTGCTGGTGGGACGCGAGGCACAGCGGAGGAGAAAGGAGGGAGACGGGAAAGCGTAAAGTGCGAGCGAGGACGGTGAGACGAGACACGCAGAAATGATGCAGCCGAAAGTGCTCGTGCAAATGGTTGTAGAGAAACGCGATGCGGCGCGGTGAGCATATGGTTGTGAGTCCATTCCATCTTCCAAGAACGCCTCAGCAGAAGTCTACTTCCAGCGGGCGTCACGGCTGGCGAATCGCGTGGCGCCTCGCGACGAGTCAGCTGCACTGGGAAGGCTCTCATCTCATCCTCTTTGTGAGAGTGTCGGGTCGTGTCGGTCGTGCCTGCAGACAGTTGGTGGTGGTTTCAAGCGAAAAGACAGACGGTTCACGGGATGGCTGGCCCTCGCATCGCCCTGTTGCACCTCGTGCGGTTGCCATGTCTGTCAGTGGAGGCAGTTGATGATGCATTGCTGGAGGTACCAGCATTCTCGTTACCAGATCGGCCTGTTTCGAAGTTTACTCATAATTCGACTGTACTGGTTGGATTATGTCAGTAAAGTAATGCAGACTTCCCTTCATGATCATTATAAAAAAATATTCATTAGCACATGTATGTAATATTTTAACTGATAATTAGATCAAATATTACACATTTTAACACACATTTATACTTTTCTGATATGAAATCGTGGTCATTCAATTTTATAGTGGATCATGTATTGGAAGTCGTATAGAGTCAATTTCCAAGTTCCACACTCCATGCAGAAGTGTACAGTTATAACTGAACATGGCTGTGCTTCAGGAAGATGAGTGGCGCGTGCATGCCTTGTTGGTTGGAGGGTGGACTGGACATTCTAGGAAAGGGTGCTGGCAGAGCGTGGATCCACTTCGCTCCACGTGTGTGAGGTGATCGACTCGCAGGTGTGCAGTTACAACAAGCAGGTGCCACAGTGGCAGCATGTCGCAGGTCGGCTTCTGTTGGTGCTGGGAAGGGAAGAAAGGCGGTGGTTGTTGAGATCTGCGACCCGACTGGCAGCGCTCAAGCGGTTGATCTGACCCTAACATTTCGGAGACTCCGATAGGGCTAGGGGGTTTCGAGACTCGCACGCCGCAGTTGGATGTTGGAAGTTTTGCCGTCCACTTGGGCAGTAACTTCCAAGGAGGCAATTGAGGCCACAAAATCTCTAGATTGGAGAGGGATTGCCCCCACTTCGGGCAGCCCTCGCCCGTGGTCGGCGCATCATCTATATTTGTTGAACAGCACACGTTTCAAACAAATCACGCGCAATTGCCGAGCTCAAACCACCACTGTATTGGTAATTTGACTGCACGGAAGCAGTGAGAAGTTTGCGAAGGGGGGTCGAAGGTCCTCTGTTTCGCTCGTCTTGGCGCGAAGTCCCTCACAGACCGCAGGTGGGCTTGCTCGCCAAAAATTTGTGCCTGACTGTTGCTTCGTCCAGACTTTCCTAGCCTGCTGGCATGACACCAATACTCGCACCTGTTCCCATTTCCCTCACGAAACGACTGAGGTACACTCTCGAGTTGCAGCTCTTGGACTTCACGAGAACGAGAAGTGGTACGTAGCAGCTCGAAGGAACCCGTCCGACTGTGTACCTCTATTTGGAAACACTCCTTGAGAGCAACAACCCCAACACGCAACCCATCCACCGCACAAGTCACGTCCGCTTGCTCTCTGTTTGTCTGCTCTCCCTTCCGTCCGCTCCGCTTCACGAAGTGCCCCCCACTCGACTTTGCTGTGCGCTGCATCCACAGCAACAAAACCCTACAGCTGGAGACCTATCGGAAAGCAGAGTCCAGTTCTCACACCGTGTAGTGTAGACTGGTTTACCTGGAGACTTGCTGCTAGTCACCACCCAAGAATATCCTAGCGACGAATAATAGGCCGCGCTTCTGAGCGACTTTTGGGGAATTTTCGCCAAGATGGGGGCGACAACTTCCAGTTTCGCCTTGTATTCCACTGACGAGAAAGCCCTCGATAGCTCTCTTGATGATTCCCCAACCCCGCCAGCTGTTCCCGAGTCGGTACCTATCGACAGCCGACGATGCACCAGCACAAGCAGCACCAGCACTAGCAGCAGCAGCAGCGCCAGCGATGGTGGCGGCGACAGGTATTGTAGCAGAGTCGACTGCGGCAGCAGCAGCAGCTGCAGCAGAGCATCTAGCTATCGCGAGACGAGGCCAGAAGCGCACGATAGCGAGGGGCCCAGCAGGAAACGAACAACCATCGAAAGCCTACCGGTACGCTCTGGCCCTGCACCCGTTTCACGTGCTCCCCTCAGCTTTCCACCCCCTCTTCCAATTGCCCCCCCGTTGTCGCCTGGTTCGTGCGAAGCTGATCGCCCGCCCACCATTCTTTTCCCACTCCCCTCTTCTCTGTGCTCCCGTCCGCCCTTCTCCCTCGTCAATCTCTCCCCTCCCATGGCCGTCGCATGGCAGGACGAGGTGCTGATCAAAGTGTTGGCAGCCGTCAATTCCACCGCGTCATCACCGCTCGACGTCGTCCTTCCATCCATGATGTAAGCGCCCGCCCACCCGCCCGCCCGCCCGCCCACGAGGACTGCTTGCTTCTCCGCGTCCCGCCCTCCCTCACCGTCCTTCTCTTCGCTTCGTTAACCTCTCCTCGCATGTTTTTTTTCATCCTCGTTTCCTAACTCCTGTTTCTATTCTTCCGTACCCTCTTTGCCTTGCTACTCCCTACTCCTCCCGCGTCGCCTTCCCCTTCCGCAGCAATCGACGGTGGCGACGGGCCAGCAGGGACCGCGAGGCGCTGAAGCGCGCGTGCAGGGGGGGTGTGGCGGTGCGCGCGCGGCAGTGGTGCGAGGGCGCGTACATGTTCCTCCGCCGGCTCTGCGAAAACGGCTGCCTTGAAGCCGCCTTCATGCTCGCCATGGTCAGCCCCTCCACCTCTACTCCCCCCTCCCCGCTCTCCCCCCTCCCCCCGCCATCCCCCCCTCCGCAACCTACTACCCATTGCTTTTCGCCCCCTCCTTCCCCCCCCCCTCCCCCTTTCCCGTGCTCCACCCCTTGTTCCCACGGTTGTCCCTTACCCCTCTTCCACGCTCGCGTCCATTATCCTTTACGTTCCGCCTTGCTAGCCTCTGCCCGCCTTGCTAGACCTTCTCCCCTTCCCCTCTGCCGTGTTTCCCGAGCTCATCAACAATTTACCGGTTCCGCTCTGTATACCCCTTGACGTTCCGTCCACTCATTCTCTCCTCTCTCTTCGCCTTCGTGCGACTCCCTCTTGTCTTCCCGTTGTTGCGCGCGTCAGATTCTATTCTACTGTATACCCGGCGCGCAATTCGAGGGCGGGCGGCTGCTAATGCACTCGGCGCGCGAGGGCCACGCCGCGTCGCTCTACACGGCCAGCGTTCTCAGCTTCAACGGCAGCGCGCTCGGCGCGCAACACAAGGACGCGCGGATGGGGGTCGCGCTGTGCGCGCGAGCTGCGGCGCTAGGGCACACGGAGGCGATGCGGGAGCTGGGGCACTGTTTAATCGACGGGTACGGCGTGCAACGCGACGCGCAGGAAGGCTGGCGGATGCTGCTAGAGGCGCAAGCGGCGGAGCTCGCGCCGCAGGCGTATCTGCGCTCGCTGCTCTCCGCGATGTCCCCCTCCCCCGCGACCGACTGCGCAACTTCCAGCGCCTGCGACAACTCGTTTGCTTCCGCCGCCGCGTACCGCGCTTGTAACTCCAGCCCGTACGGCAACACGACGCCGCTTACGCCCGTAGAGCAGGAAGCCGCGGTGCAACTGCTGCTCGCGCGCGACTGGCGGGCCGCCCCCGCCAGCCCCATCCGCGCGGACTCCTCTTCCGCCTGCTCCTCCGCGTCTGGCGCCGTGGCTTGCTGCGACGACGACATGGCCGGCGACGAGGCAGCGGAGTCGAGCGACGGCGCGTTTCTCTCCGCCGCGGGGTTGTCGCCGCGCTCCCCGTCGAGCGTGCTCGCGATGCACTCGCTCTCCCCGCGATCCCCCGCGACTAAGCCCACGTGGCAAACGCAGCAGCCCCTCGCTGCATCCACCATCACAACCACCACCACCACGGCCCCCACCACCCCCATCCGCGCCCCCACCACCAGCACCAGCACCAGCCTCGGCAACAAGCAAGCCGTGGTGGAGAAGCTCCTAGCGGGGCTCGCTTCCGGGTCGTTCCGCCTGACCGACGCGCACGTGGCTGCGCTCGAGCCCGCGCTCGCCGCGCTCCAGTCGTCCCTCCGCCCCGCCCCCGTCCACCCCGCGCACGTGTTCGTGCGGGAGTGGCGCGCGCTCAAAGGCCTTTCCGCCGACTCGGTGGAAGAGAGCCTGTCGCCCGCTTCACCAGCAGATGCGGCGGAGCAAGCGCGGGGAGGCGATGCGCGCCCGGGGGTGTGCAGCCGCGCGTCGTGCGGGCGCCCGGAGACGCGCGCGTTCGAGTTTTGGCGGTGCTCCACGTGCTGGCGCGTGCGGTAC